AAGGCCACATAAACCCCATGCTGAAGCTAGCAAAACTCCTCCATCACAAAGGCTTTCATATCACCTTTGTAAACACCGAGTTCAACCACAGACGCCTCCTGAAATCTGGAGGTCCTGATTCACTCAACGGCCTGTCATCGTTCCGATTCGAAACCATTCCCGATGGGCTTCCTCCATCAGATGATTCAGATCCTGATGCCACCCAAGACATCATCGCTCTTTGTGAGTCCATCACTAACCACGGCTTGGCTCCATTCGGAGACCTCCTTTTCAAACTTAATGAAACCTCGTCGTCAAGGGTACCTCCTGTTACTTGTATAATTTCTGATGCTACCATGACCTTCACACTTGCAGCAGCCGAAGAACTGGGCATCCCTGAAGTTCTCTTCTTCGCCGCCAGTGCTTGTAGCTTCCTCGCTTGCATACAATGTCAGAAACTCATCGAAGAGGGTTATACACCAATCAAAGGTATTAATTAACTACTAACCAACTTCATATGTACATATGCATCGACATCCTTTACATTACACTTTTATTTAATGTTTCTTAATAGTAGGCTTCCTACCACGTATGCCCAAAGGATAAGTTATAAGTAGTAAGTTCTACTGCAATTTTAAAAAATGCTATCGAGAATAGCTTCCAAAAGATGGAAGGTTATCCACCATTAAGAAATCTCCATCTTGTGCATATATAATATACATCACACAATTAAGTGGGTGTGTGTCTCTTTTTCTTACTCATTTTATCGTGGCTCATATGTAGGTCCCTTTAAATACTTACATTGAATGTGATTCAAAAGTAAATCTTGAAGGCATTGTTTCACTAGTTTTATTTTAACATTGGCATTTTAATTTTCTTGATGTGCAGATGCAACTTACTTAACAAATGGATATTTGAAAACTGTCATAGATTGGATATCTAGTATGAAAGGTATACGCTTGAAGGATTTTCCAAGTTTCATAAGAACAACAGACCCAAATGATTTTATTTTGAAATTTATTCTAAGTGAAATTGAAAAGGCTAAAAAGGTCTCTGCGATAATTTTGAACTCATTCGATGAACTGGAGTACGATTTTATTGATGCTCTTTCATCTATTCTTCCTCCAATTTATTCGGTCGGACCATTGCATATTCTCCAAAATCATATCCAAGATAATGATTTGAAGTTTCTTGGTTTAAATCTTTAGAAAGAAGAGTCAGAGTGTCTTCAATGGCTTGACTCGAAAGACCATAAATCCGTGGTGTATGTGAATTTTGGAAGTGACACTGTCATGACACCAAACCAAATGATTGAATTTGCTTGGGGACTAGCTAATAGCAATCAAATCTTTTTGGATAAAAAGATCTGATCTTGTTGCTGGTGATTTGGCTGTTCTTCCACCTGAATTTGTGGAGGAGATAAAAGATAGAGGCCTNTGCAAGTGTATAATTTGACATACCAAATTTCTTTAACAAATCCAAAACATATTTTTCTTGACTTACAAAAATTCCGTTTGAATCTTGAATCACCTGAATTCCAAGAAAATAATGCAAAAGANAGGTGGTGCTCACAAGAAAAAATTCTCGGCCACCCCGCAATTAGAGGATTCTTAACTCACTGTGGGTGGAATTCAAGTCTTGAAAGCATAAGTGCCGGAGTGCCAATGATCTGTTGCCCATTTTTTGCTGATCAACAGACCAATTGTTGGTTTTGCAGCACTCAATGTGGCATTGGCCTGGAGATAGAAAATGATGCTACGAGAAATAAAATTGAGAGCTTTGTGAGAGAGTTGATGAATGGAGAGAGAGGCAAAGAGACGAAGAATAAGACATTGGATTGGAAGAAAAAGGCTGAACAGGCCACNTGTCAATTTTGCTATACCATGCCTTTGGTGCTTGTTTGAGCCCATTGAGTGCCTTCTTTAACTCATACACTTTGTGCTCCTTTCCCTCAATTTCATAACCTTGGGGNCGAAGAATAAGACATTGGATTGGAAGAAAAAGGCTGAACAGGCCACTACAGGTGCAACTTATGTGATTCTGGAGAAAATGATCAACGAAGTGCTTCTTACTCAAAAAAAATAGAATTGTATGTCTTCTCGTCAAGTATTGGGAACATGGTTTGGAGCTTTCACTCATCTCTGACGGTCTTTTCAGATTTGTAAAAAAGGTTGAGATCAAAATTTTTGTCCCTGTGGCAATTTAATAACATATTTAAGAAGCACTAGAAGGGGAAGAAAAGACTCTTTTTAATATTTTTAAATAAATTTTGAGTCTTTTATATCATTCTTCATGAATTTTAATTTTTATAAATGAATATTCAATTACACTATGACCCAATCTAAAGTCTCTTTATGTACACACATGACGAAATTAAGTATTTATTTGATGAAATTGAATTGAACTTTATATATAATTTTCTAAAGTTCAACATAATTGAGATATTCAGACATTCCAATTAGTGGTTAAATTCTTTCAAAATGAGGGATTGAGTGTTTCACCAGTTTCTTTTGGAAGAAAAAAAAAACAAAAAAGATATTAGATATGAGCAGATTTGTAAAAGCTTGCCTTTTTATCATGTTTAATTTTGATATAAATTGCATGAATAAAATTAATTCAATATCAATATCAAAATTTATACATTGAATTTAGATTCAGATTGGCCAAGATTTAATTTGTTGATAGCCGACATATAGGAAGGTTTTAGGATGCAAATTTGTTGAGCGCCTTCCTTGTTCACACCATTTTCTTTGATCCAAGTTCAAAATGTTGTCTCACTACGCATACCAAAATATTTTTGCTCCAAAATCTATTGTTATCAATAGAGGAAACTCAATCGATAGATAGTTTTTAGGCAATTACTAGTGATGGGTTCAATTGTCTTGTTTTAGGACTTTATTGGATGAAATTTCAAACAGTAAGCACACAGAATCGTGAATTAATAAAAAAAAAGAATCTTTTTATTAATTCAATCGAAGGATTTTAGTTACAAAAAGATTGAATTAACAACTTTGATTATAACAATAACTACTTCTTAAAAACTAACCTAACACTTCTCCTAAAAATGCCTATATCATGGGTCTTGCGGGGGTTTGAATGTATGCTTCAACATCCTCATTTTTTATTTTTTATAGCCACTATTTTCGACGGCTATTTAATTTGTAAATCCCAAGTAGTTATCCTTCTTTTTTCAAATAAAACTGTGTTTGACCATCTCCTGCCTTTACTAAGATTTTTTCACGTGGACCCCAATCCATGAGGTGTTGATGCATCAAACATTCTCATTACATTTTTAGGTCCAGACACTATTCTAGAAGGTAGCCTATTCTAGAAGATTACAGTCACACTTAGCTTGGAGTTGATCTTCTTGATACTTATCCTTATCACCCCCCTTCAAGGTGAGGGCGACGAGAATCGACACACCCTGCTTGAATGCAAAATCAGTGAACAAATGGTTAGGTAGAATTTTTGTGAATATGTTGGCAAGTTGTTGAGTAGAAAGAACATAACGAACAGAAAGCAACCCCAAAACAACTTTCTCATGAATAAAATGATAGTCTAGTTCAATATGTTTGGTTCAAACATGAAAATTTTGGATTAGAAGCCAAAGAAATGACACTATTGTTTTCACAAAATAACTAAGGGAGTTGAGTCAAGGTGACATTAAATCTTGAAGAAGATAAGTAATCCAAGTCATGTCAGTTGCGACATGGACAAGTGCACGATATTCAGCCTTAACACTCAAACGAGCAACAGTAGGTTGTTTCTTTGAACTCCAAGAAACACAGTTGGTACCAACGAAAATTGCGTAATCAGTAGTAGACCATCTAGTGTCTGGACACCCTGCCCAATCGGCATTGCTATGGTGAGCAACAATGGGTGAGTGCATATGTTGATAAATAGAGTTTACGCTAAATGCAGTTCAATATTGCAAGGCACCCATAATACTCCTAAAGGCATTTGGATCGACAAGGGGAATACCAATTGCATAAAGTTTCTGATGGACATTTAGGGGGTAGCAAGGGGTTTACAATCTATCATCAAAGGACAAGCAAGAAAATCGTGGACATACTTGACTTGAGAGAGAAACAATATATGAGATGACAAATAGGCCTCAATGCCCAAAAAATAGTGAAGCAAGCCAAGGTCCTTCATAGAGAACTCAAAGCCGAGTTGGGTGATAGTGGTATGCAAAAGAGTTTCATCATTGCTAGTGATAATCATATCATCGATGTAAAGAAGAATAACAACGATGTGATTAAGATCGTGATGGGTGAACATGTAGTTGTCAGCAACATTTTGATGAAAGCCTAGAGTATACAAATGATGACTAAATCGATCAAACCAAGCTCTTGGGGCTTGGTGCAAACCTTAAAGGTCATGGTTAAGTTAACATACATGGTGGGGAAATTGAGCATCCACAAAACCAGGAGGTTGAGAGACATAAACCTCCTTTTTGAAAGAGCCATGCAAGAATGCATTCTTCATGTCTAATTGATGAATTTTTCAACCGCATGTAATAGTGACATCGATAACTATAAAAATAGTAGTAGTTTTCACCACCAGAGTAAAGGTTTCAACAAAATCGATGCCATGGAGTTGGGAGTAGCCTTTGGCCACCAATCGGGCTTTGTATCGTTCAACATCACCTGAAGGTAAGAACTTCTTTTTTTAGACCCATTTAGTGTTAATAACATAAATGTCTAGATTTCGAGGAACCAAACTCCATGTTCCACTTTTGTGGGGAGCCACTAATTCCTTCTCCATGGCAGTTTGCCAATGAGGAAGTTTCAAGGCTGACTAAAAGTTTGTCAACTCGGTATTATTTTCAATGGCAGCAAGAAACATGAATGTGAAGAAGACAAAGCAGAAGAACCCAAGGAGCAAATTGGGTAAGGAGAGTGATGGGATTGTAGGAAAACAAGAAACAGAGAAAAGGAAATGATAGGCTAAAAAATAGAGGAGAAAATATAACTTTATCTGCTGCTGAAAAAATTCTGAGTTGCATACAACTTTCAGATTACATGACTCTTAAATAGACCAATTTGTAAACAAATTTTCCTACTTTTACTCCAACTATGTCCTACAAAATAGTAACTTGCTGACTTATAGATGACAACTTGCACACTAATAGTCAGCATATAACTTATTCAATAAGAACTTAAATTGACAAAGTCCAACCTAAAAGACGTGAGAATTTAACCAAGTTTGGATTACATCCAACAAACACCCCCTTAATTCAAACTTGTGGCTGCACTCCCATCATGTCGCGAAAATTCTTGAACTTTTCATCAGACAGTACTTTGTGAAAATATCAACCATTTGTTCTTCAGTGTTGCAATGTTCCAACTGCACTTGTTCTGTTGCCACGACTTCACGAATGAAATGATGCCGAATTTCTATATGCTTCGTCCTTTCTTGATGTACTGGATTTTTTGAAATTTCAATGGTTGACTTGTTATCGGAAAACATCTGTGTGGCATCTTGTTGCTTCTCTATCCAATTACACAAGATTCTCCTTAGCCATATTGCTTGACAAGCTATTGTTGTGGCTGCAATGTACTCAGTTTCAGTGCTTGAAAGTGTTGTAGTGAGCTGCTTCTTTGATGTCCATGATATCACTCCCGAACCAAGACTAAATACATAGCCTGTAGTGCTTTTTTTGTCATCGATACAACCTGCCCAATCACTACCAGAAAATGCTATAAGTTTAAAGTTAGTGACTTGTGTATACTGAATCCCATAATCAAGAGTGTCTTGTTTGTATCTCATGATCCTCTTTGCTGCCCCAAGATGATGCTTGCTTGGATTTTGCATAAACCTGGAAATGATGCTCATAGAAAACATAATATCAGACCTTGTGTGTGTGAGATAAAGCAGCCCTCCCACAATACTTCTAAAGAACCTTTCATCAGTAGTTTCAGTACCATCTACCACAACAAGCTTCTCATTCACATTCATAGGAGTCTTTGCAAGTGTATAATTTGACATACCAAATTTCTTTAACAAATCCAAAGCATATTTTTCTTGACTTACAAAAATTCCGTTTGAATCTTGAATCACCTGAATTCCAAGAAAATAATGCAAAAGACCCAAATCTGTCATTTCAAAATTTTGCATCGTCTTATCCTTAAATTCCCTGATCATCCTTTGAGAGTTATCAGTATATATCGTATCATCAACGTATAAGCACACAATTAACAAGTCA